AATCAAACAATCAAATATTAATAATCAAATAATCAAATGATCAAATATTAATAATCAAATAATCAAATGATCAAATATTAATAATCAAACAATTGAACAGTTAAACAATTAAACATCAATCAGACAATAAAATGATCAAACAGTCAAATAATTAAACAATCAATTAAAGGATTTAACAATCAGATGATCAAACGATCAAACAGTTAAACCATCAAACAATTGAACAATTAATCAATCAAACAATCAAACTGTCGAACAATTAATCAATCAAACAATCAAACAATCGAACAATTAATCAATCAGACAATCAAACAATCAAACGATTCACTGGCCAGTTGTCTAGGTGTGAGCGACTCACCAGCTGTGACAAGCCTGTCTGCCATGCAAATTGATTGTTCCCACAGCCCTCTGTCCTTCTCACATTTTTTTTTTTCATTTTTTTTTTATACTGCCGGGGCCGGCCGCAAGTTTCTTCTTGGAGGGGCGGTAAAAAGTGGGCAGAATGTGATAACATTTCCTAGCAAAAGCTGCAGTGAAGGCGCAATTTGATTAAATCCTCCAAAAACAATCATGTTTGGTTCGGGAGAATTTGATCAAATTGTTCCAAAATTGTGAAAGCTCAAGTGGTAAGAGAGACGTATATGTTCCCCGGTTCCCCCGACTTTCCTCAACCAATGAGTTTGTCTGTGCTTGTCGGGGGAAAAGTCGACTGTTACATCCAGGGAAAACTCTAGCGTCACATTTGGTATAGTTGATAAAATTGTTACTTTTAGTATAGTTAATTGTTACTTTTAGTATAGTAGTACAGTTGATAAATTTGTTACTTTTAGTATAGTAGTTTAGTTTATTATTACATTTAGTAAAGTAGTATACAGTCAAACCTGTGTAAGACGGTCACCCATTGTCAATGAGAAAAATGGCCGTTTAAGACAGGTGGCCATCTTAGGCAGGAGTGATCAAGATGAAGAAAATAAACCATTCCTATCTGGAGTCCCAATCGAAAGTAGCCGCATTTATTGTTCTTGTTTTTGTTGTTTTTGTTGTTGTTGGTTTGTATTTTGTTTATTTTTATTTTGTTGCTGATTTTGCGCAAGATGACAATAAAACGAAATGTATCAGATGAAGGAAGATCGAGTGCCATGTTAAAGCAAACATATGGGTCGCCACCATTCGGAGAACGAGTGACGCTTCTGTCGCAAGTTCACATTGACGTCCTTTGTTACTTTGTTACAGACTGGGTAAACAGTGACCTCTCATCTCACGTACGATTTGTGTATGAGTTCTGGGCGGGGCTTATGGGTTATGAGGGATCACATGTTTACCTCACCAGCAGCTGAAAATTGGCACCTATTGGTCAACAGTGGGAGGGGCCTACGCAACATGATCGGTTGGAGGGACTACCTGCAAAAACGACAGGTGATTGGATTATGACGGCCGGCCCACAACGCCAGGGGCCAGTGCACAATCTATGACAAAACGTAATGGAGTCACTAAGGTGGCCGTCTAAGACAGGTGTTATTGCTCAGTGTAATAGGGGTTGTGTGTTAAAATATGGTGGCCGCGGCCGCGTTGGACAGGTGCCCGTTTTACACACTTAAATTATATAGGAAAAACGCAAGGGGGGAAATGGAAAGTGTCCGTTTGTACAGGTGGCCGTCTTAGAGAGGTGGCCGTCAGGGCAGGTTTGACTGTAGTTTATTATTACATAGCATAGTTTAGTGTCACATCCAGTATAGTAGTAGATCTATAGTCTAATGGCGTATCTATCTCTGTCTAGTCTAGTCGTTCGTTTAGTGTCACATTTAGTGTATAGTTTAGTGTGGTATCTATGGCAGTATAGTTTACTTTCACATCTAGTATAGTAGCATATAGTTGTGTAGTCGTGCCAATCAGTGATGTTAATCAGTCCTTGAAGAGGGGGAGGGGGTAGGGGGGTGGGGTGGTTATATTAAAAGGGGCAGTCATTGTTGTGAACAAGCCAAGGTCAATAATCCTGATTGAAATCAGCCCAAAGACCCCAGGGAAATGTATTCCAGTTTGAAAGTTGATATGCATGTTTTGCTGATTTGCGTTTCTGATATGTAAAAACGTTTTTGCTTGAGGCCAAAGTATTTCTGTCTGATTTATGAATGGATAATGCCTGGCTTTGCAAGTTTCTATTGAACGCTCTGCTAGTTTGGTCAGATTCTGTTTGGAACTATGTGGTAGACAAAGGAAGACAGGACTTTACGGAAAGGGGGGGG